CTACAAAGGAGCCCACGACATTTCTGTACAATCTAATTGACTCTTATGAGATGACAAAGCAACACCTTAATAATCAGGCACTATTCCTTGCACACCTAACATAAAATTGCCCCATCTATGTAAAAACACTGATGGGTTTGAACTTTTTCACAGCAGACTTTATGGCTCTAAGCAAAGCAGTCTGAGCAGAACTATTTAATATACAGTAGCTTCTGGGAGCCCCAGATGCCCTTTTCTACAACGACTTCATTCCCAGAATCTCATTGTGCTTTCTAAATCACACCACAGTATGTATTAGAAGATCATTAATTACAAACTTAACAAGTCAGCAGAGCCATTAAAAGATCTTTAAGGCATATTTGACCATAAATCTCCTTAAACTATATTTAATGACTGGATTTTTGTGAAATATTTTTTATCAAGTTCTAATTAGATGTGTGATAACAAACCCTGCTGTACACGGGGCAAATGAGGGAGCCGTGACAGGCCCATCCATTGAGGCTGTCCACGTCTGGACACTGAAACTAATGGAGCACTGCTTCTATCTCAGGGATGGATAGAAAGCAATGAGGGATGAGACTCCAGAGTCCAGTCTGGCCTGCAAATGCAAAAGCCTGGTAAAATCTCTTATTTGACTATAATAAAGGTCCAAAAAAGCCCGAGGGCCTCAAGGCTCCAGTCAAAAAAATCCATTAGGATTTATACAGGATTGATCCTGAAATACTTGGCACCATCACAATGGGATCGATCATGTTTTGCTACAAAAGCCGTGTAGTCATAAAGAATTTTTGACATATCAACAGAATAAATTCAACCAGGATTGTTTTGAGAGGTTTTTCACCTGTTTGAAGCAAAAAAGCACTTTTTAACTGAGGCGATCCACGCAGACTATACACAATGAGAAAAGAAATACTTCTTAATCTTCACAGTTCACTTTGGTCACAACAGAAGGCATTTGTTAAAGACGTGTTTCAATGTTTTCCATTTGGATCATCAATTTCACAGATAATACACTGTCTTAAAAAAATCTTATTTGGAAATACACACCAATATTTTCCAGAATCACAAAAATAGAACCTGTAGCAAATCCGACAAATAGTTATTACACAATCTCCACGAACAAACTGTTTTCACAAACAAACCCTGACTTAAGATCAGAAAATGATTGTGAGTATATTTTTATATTACATTACATTCATGATCTATCCAGACATTATACTATATACTTTATACTACCTTTATGACACTAATATTCATTCTCCTTTAACATAGAATTGTGTTGACAGCTTGCTGGTGGTTTTAATCCCATGCTTTAATTCAGTTCTGTAGTATGTTTGCCATAAAACACTGAAACTACCCTGCTATGTCAATATGGAAAATGCACAAATAGCTAAAACCTAAACCCGAATTAAAGCTAATTTGAATAATATATAATATAATATACAAGACGTCAAATTATAAAATGAAATTCAGCACTCTTTTATATAATTAGTTTCTGGGATTAGTAAATACATTTAGCTTGTACTTAGTGCGTGTGTGTGGGGGTGTGTGTGTGTACATTAGGTGTAAATACTTTTCTTCTGTTGAAGCTCTCTCTCGTGCTCTGCTTCGCCTTTTGCTGACCAGGGGAATTAAGGAGCAAAATGTGGGTTTTAAGAGCGTTCCTTTCATGTCTTGATGTAAGCTTTGGCATTACTTCAGACATCAAGATCGGTTTCATAGAAATCCCATTCCATCTAAAGTAAAAGCTCGGCAGTAAATCTGCCCATACCTCCCCCATAACACTTCCATAAATGATTCATTCAGCTCAGTTTAGCTGATGCAAAACAGAATGTTAGTGAGTTGTGGATGGAGCCCGAGCTGCAAGTGTAGGACCAACCCGGCTGCTTAGTAATTTCATCAATCTCTGGGAGAGCGAGCGAGCACGAGAGAGAAAGAGGAGAGCGGCGTACACTAATAATAACTTTTGTGTCACTATCCAGAGGTTGTGTTTTTTAATCCCTCAGCCTAAAGAATTGTGTTATTCTAAAATATAACCCCGGCGGTGCAGAAGCAGTTGAGATCCATCATGGTTTGAGATAAGAGCCGGTTGATCTCCTCCCTCTGTATAGCCTTGCCCAGAACTACACGGGGAGATAAGATGGAACTTTTGTTTGAAACCTGATGAGAACCCTCTTAATGAAAGTGCTGCGCCAAAAATAATCTTTTTTCTCCATGTTAGTCAATCAAGAAATGGTGTAGTTGGGGGGAAAAAGAGGAGAAAGAAAGTCATTTTGCATAATCAGTGAGCACCATCTGGAACAATTAACCAAATTCCACAGAACTCAGAGGATCAGTCATATTGGCTTATTAAAGATCCAGAATTATACAAGTAATAAATCCTTGGAAAAACGAAGCGTACCCCTGCCTGTCACGACTATTTTAACTTCAAATACAGTGGAATACTTGATAAGGCTGAAAAGAGGAGATTAATATATGCAAATTATGTCGAGCATTTAAAAGCCCCCCAACAACTGTCTCGTTTTTTTTTTTCTGTCTCTTATTACAGGGCTTTATGTTTTATTCATACACCAACTCACCTGTCATTTCATAAGCTATAATATTATGAGGGTATTATTAAACAGCATAAAGTACAGCTTTAATTGGAAAGCTCCATTGCATTTTCCAATTATTTGCAGCAAATTAAAAGCAGATGCACATAGTTTAATAAGAATTCTAATATTGTTTCCTGAAAATCAAAAATCACTGTCATCCTGCCAAGATATTTTGCAAACCCAAGTTAATTTTGAGCCTCCTATTTTTTTTTCTTCTTCCTCCTCCTCCTCTGAAGGATGAACTGTCTGGTGTCTGTTAATTGAAGTTCCCCTAATGGATAGGGAAATAATTGCTCTCCATATTACGTTAGATCAGGGCCAATGTCAGGATGTATTTTTGATTAATGCGATAGATATGTAAATGTATTGCTTTTTATTACGTTTACCTTTTTATCAGGTGGATGGCTGCTGAATACTATATGTTGTTCTGTATGTAATGAAGCGAGACTGCAGCGCAACTGACTGAACCTTCACATAGGTTTATTTTACAGATTTAGACTTTTTTCTCCCAGCACTGTTACATTTATTTTTATCAAAGATATGCAACATAAGACACATTTCACGAAATGCAAATTTAATTACCTTTAAAACATCTTGCTTTTTCTGTCAATGTATGAATAATGGACCTAATTGGCAAAGGGACTTGGCGTGGATCAAAGCACCACCAGTGAAGAAAAGCAAAAGGTTGGAGCTGCTATGAAAACTTGCTAACTTTTCAAATGAGCTTGAACTGTCAAGTCAAAGAGGGCAGCAAAATAAATGTGAATTAGTTTTTAATATTCTGGTAATAAATGTCAAAGCGCCTGCACATCACATCTGTACATGAAGTGACTGCAGATGACAGATTTCCCAGACATGTTACCTCTCCTCCCCTCAGCTTGCTCTTTTTTTTGTGTTGGGGTTTTTGTTTTGTTGGGAAGTGACGGAGGGTTTAATCAAGAAAGCAGGCAATTCATCAATCCTAAAGAAGGCGCCTGTACAACCCTGACAGAGCGCACATGGTTTTAGACCAACTCGAACCTGGCCAGCTGTCAGCCCACACACACACACACACACACACACACACACACACACACACACACACACACACACACGAGCACACCCAGCCGCCCACGCACCCACATACACACACCCGAGTTACCACCACGGTAACAATTAACACAAATAGGCTGTCGGCTACGACCTCACACTTGGTCTGCAGGCTATCACATTGCTAATGAAGGGAAGTTGCGTTCTCTCACATTCACAGTGTGATGCTGTGAGGCTGACGAGTACACAGTCGCAAGCAATAAAGCAAGAAGCATCTCAGGCTAACGCCATTAATCCTCTTTCCTTTAAAATCTCAACAACTCATGAGGAGACACATAAAGGAAGGGGGAAGAGGAAGCGCGTGCACCTGCAAAGGACAGTTTTTCTGCGGATAAATGATGACTGTTGGCAGCACTCTGTACAGTATGTGCATGTTCTCCACTGTCACTCAAATCCCGTCCCAGTGGAGGAATCGCACACCGAATGCCACAAACCATTCAGCTGTGTGTTAATGTCTGCTCCTTCAGGGCTCCACTTTGCCACTTGTCTGGACTAACTTCTAATGAATGTCATATCAACACCATGATGTATTTATCTTTGTTTTGTCAATTGTGTTCTTTCTTTCTTTCAAATTAATTTACATTAAAAATAAAACTCCTACATTTCTGTACATTTCAGCAGCTGTTTAGAATTAGACTTGTATTAAAAAGGGTTGGGTGTAAAGTGGCTGTAGCCTGGGCGTGCCTCTCTCTACTGGAGCAGCAGGAGGAATCCTCACCACATGGTGTCTCTCTCCAGCTGGATAAAAACCTGCCTGCCTTGTTCACCTCGTGTGAATCACACGCTCTTTTAAGGCTGGAGCGTCTCAGCCGGCTCCGACTCTGTGGCTCTGAGGCTGTCATAGCTGAGCTCCGCTTCCTAACGAATTAGCCCTTTTTCTGTTTTAGTCATGGGGCATTGTGCAGTAGTTGAGTTTTGTCCTTGACAAAGAGAAGAGCATTCGTCCAGTGCATGCACGGTACACATGTAAGTATGGCATGTGATGGATGGTCTTTGACAGCTGTTAAATGTTCTCTTGAGTGTAAAGCGGAGCTCCTCTGGGAAGGCACGTTGGCTCAGATAAGCAAAGCTCTGTGCAGTATCCATCAGTAAGGAGATGTAGACATAGAGCGTTTGTAGATCAAGTAGCAGAGAAGCTTCTTTTATGTACAGGTGGAGACTGTTTGTAGATGCAACATAGGAAGCATGAGTATTTAACTCTTTCTCCAAAATCACAGCTATAGTATGATCTTAGTCTAACCACGTAATGTATGTTGGATTTCGTTGATCGTCTACAGTGACTTTCATGAATGCATTTAAAGTGTGAGACCTCTTTACCTGTCTTGGTGTTGTTCCCACTGCTCTGCTGCTCATTGTCTGGCCTTCTCGTGGTTCTACTGCAGAAAAAAACAACACCTTCAGTCAACTGATCCATACTATTTTATTGACAAGCATTATAAAAACACCCAATATGCATGAAAAAGTTGTATTTAAGAAGAACACTTTCAGTTATTCCAAGAGAAGTGCTTCAGACATTAAAATTAAAGCATGGCACCCTCCCCTACACAAAGGAATTCTGATCTGTCTACAGGCAAAGCAGAGCACTGAAATACCCAGCTGAATGTGAAGAGGAGAAATATGGTAAAAGTTAAACCGTGCCTCAGCCTGTGCCCAGGGGCTCAAACAGACCTTTAACAGGAGGTTTGGAGCAGGATCTTGTTAATTCTGGAGGAACTGAAAGATTCCATTATTCAAGGGAAGTCTGTTTTTTTTTTCTACCATTCATGGCCTTGTATTACAGAAAACAGCACAGAATGCACTTTGTGGGGAGTTGAAGTTAACAAACCATATAAGATTGAAATCCTCATCAATCAAGCTATCATGAATTACACCCTGTGACTCACCCCTACGGATCGATAAATCCACAGCAAGCAGGAAAAAAAAATTCACAGCTTCGAGAGGGCTGCATAACATGACATGCTCTGAAGGGAAAATGAGCTCTGAGATGGCATTCTAAAACAAATGATCTCATAATGATAATGTTGGCGATATAAAAAAAAAGCGTACTGCTTTGATTAGAGGACACGCAGGCAGCCAGTAAGAGTCTGTTGTAAAAGAAAGAGAACATGGCAGACAAGGATAGGATGGAGAATGCAGGGACATCTACTGACTTATACAACGAGGCAAATTTTGGAAATGAGCAGGTGTGAAGCTACAAATAATAAAGTGTGTATCATGTTCTGTATTTGGCCTGTTTATGGATAACATAATCAATCTACGGGGAGGTGGTGTAAAATCAAATTTTTTTAATTTAAGACAGATCATATATCCAGAGGGGGCCTGCACGTGAGTTGTGGCTTTCAAAGCCTTATCTCTCCCTATGAGATAAATAAATGCAATAATTTCCATCAAGAGCAATAAAACAAGACTTCTGACAGGCCGTGGTATTTATGAGCTGAAGCCTGCAACTCAGATTTATTTGCAATGAAAGGGTCGACTTTTCTCCTCCTCATTTACATCAGCATTTGGCCATGTTAAATCCAGGCCAATGGTGAATTTTTAAAAGGTTGGCATCAATCTTGCGGGGAACGATTGCCATATTCGACGCAGACTTCTTTTACCTCGCGAAAGGTTGATTTCCACCGCCGAGGAAGAAAAGGTACACATCTTTCAAAGCAACAAGGCTGATAACATGGAGGGAAACGCTTTAAATGTCTTTTCAGGCTTGACGTGAGGGCCGATCGTCACAGTGTGCTTGTGTTGTTAAATTAGTGCTCATGAGAAACAAAAAAAAAAACAAGAGAGGAAAAAGTATTAAGTCAGGCTCTTTATCTATTTATGTATCAGAAAATGTGAAAGTGGTACTTAAGATCCCAAAGACTCGGCGTGGAACCAGGGAAATGTGCTCAAGAAACGCTTTTTCCACTGGCAACCTCCGGGGTGGTTTTTCCCATCTGTCTCAAACACAAAACTGTCTTAATCCAAACTGGTGATTTCTAAATACAATTTTAGGTGCATGGGAGAGGGTAACATATGGCAAATCAATTAGAAAACTAATTCTCAAAACAAAAACATGGCAAATGCATTTGCTAATCAACAGCAGTGTTGGGGCTCACATTATGTTGGCCACTGGAGTTTTGACAACAATTAATCCTCATTTCAGGCAAGGAGAGCCATATTGACACATAATCCTAATTTGAATATTCAATTATAGTGTAGTTCCTCATCAAATTATAGTAAAACTGGGAACGCGGCCGGAACGATTTACGTAATTACGACGCAGACCAAGAGTCTTATGTTCCCTTGAAATCTGCTGGAGTTAAAATCATATTAGTGCCGTAAAGCAAAGCACAACACTAAGGATTACATGACAACATGAATTACACTTCAACAGACTTTTTTTTTTTTTTTTCCAATGCGTGGTGTTCTTTATGTTGTTCCATGTGGAATAAAGAAAAGAGAAGGAAGAAGAGGAAAAGTGGGAGAGACAGTGGGGACAGACGTGTGGTAGTCAGTGGAGAGGTAAGATGAGGATGAGAGTAATATCACTGAAGAGCCAGAGCTGCGATACAGAGAGCTGGAAGCGCTTGTTTTGACACACATCCAGCCTTTCCCGTGACAACATCTCCACACCTTCCTCTGTGTGCCGACAGTGTTGCTTTGTGGAAGCTGCTTTCTCCCCCATCATTATCCTCCTTTAAGTTTGGTGTCAGGTGTTGAAAAGAGGATCTCTCTGAATTTGGTGGCAAATCAGCGAACAGTCTAAGCCCATCAGATCTCAGCTGATCATTCGATCAACCCTGGCACCCACGCCACGTCCCTGCGCTTGATCTTCTCTACTTTTTTGCAACTTTCCTGAACATAAAGTAATGAGTGAGATTGAGCTGAAAATGATGATTGTTCTTCAACACCTCAGATGGGAGATTTTCAGGCGACACACTTGACAGTCACAGACTCTTTCTCTCTCGACTCGTATGCGGTGGGAAGTCTTGGTTAACCAGCGTGCAATGAAAGCTGATACAGTACTCCTGCAGAGCTGCAGCAACGTGTGGTATGTCACAGGTAGACGACAGAGCAATCCAAAGCGTATTGATATGCACGCCAGTTCTGACACTGATGACTCTCTAGGCTTCAGGTGTTGGAGAAAAAGCCAGCTATGCAATAGAGGAAAAAAAAGATGCTTGGCCATGACATTTTTATCGCTGTACAGTTTGATTTAAAAAGTGTCTGTGTGTACAATAGCCTATTATTCTAAGAGAAATGTCAAAAACCTTGATTCTGAGTGAAGCCAAAGAAATTGCAATATTAGGACAAGAATAATTTATGCTAGCAGTCACCGTAGAGGTCAGATATCAGCCTCAGCAATGACAGTTTTATCAGGAGAACAAATGGCAACGTTGGCCGGCGGAAGAAAGGAGGGGGATACTTTACTGGACACATTAAAAGGCTGACCGGATGGTGCAGGTTTTTCACATTATAAAGTCAGGGAGTGGCTGATACGGTCTGTCTTGACAGATAACAAGCCAAAGTGGTTGACATCAAGCTGCAGCTATGAATCAAAACACAACACTGTTGCTGGTTGAGACGCTCGAGACGAACTTGATAAAGACACATTAAAACACACAAGGTTCAAATGCATTTGCAAGGCGGGCTGCTTGACAGGGCCCCACCCTCACAGTTTTAGTGGCTCCGTATGGTGCAACAGCCTGGGCCAATAAGAAATAACTATTTTAGATTTAGTGTTTATCCTTGATCTTACTTTACGAACTCGTAAGATTCCTTTTTACAGGGTTTCTGCAGTTTTCCCCAAGTTACATTTAAGACTTCTAAATACCACACACACTGTGATTTAATACCTGTTTCACAATCACCAACAACTGCATCAACATACGACAGAACAAGAGTGATTGGAATGTCACTTCCCAGCTGAATATAACTATAAGTCCTCGACTATATAAACAGCTAACATGGCTTTGGATGCACAGATTAACCAATTAAAAGTATTAACTGGTCTAATAGGAATTCCTGATCAATTTAAGGAAAATCTACTATTTTAAGTATTCAATTAATATGTTCAGTCATTTAAAAAGCAAAAATAACAAAACATTTGCTGGTTTTAGTTTCTGAAACATGAGGATTTGCTGATTTCTTTGTTTCCCTGTATATGTTTTGAATATTGAATAGTTGAATAGAAAAAACAAGCAATTTGAAGTTTTTATGATCAGTTTTTACCACTTTTTGATATGTAAAATACTCAACAAATATTGAATTAAGAAAATAGACAGATCAGTCAATAATAAGTCAATAATAATAATAAGTTAAAAATCAACTGCCTATTATTAGGAAGGGCAAGTCAATTTTATTTATAAAGCACCTTTCATACAAAGGTAGATTAGAGGTGCTGATTGTTTTATGAGATTAGATTATTAGACAATGGGCCTCCGAGCTACTATCACAATAAACACAGACTGATGGAAGAGCCTCATATTTACATAATCACAATTACAGTATGAAGGTGTTTCACATCTCCTGACAAAGATACAAAAACATTTTATGACCATCATTACTGCTTACAGCTAGTAAGAGAAAGTATTAAAGACTTTTTTTTAATTCAATTCCAAACTTAAAAACATTCCCAGACCTACTTTTTGACAAAGCTGAATATAGAACTTTTTTAAGATTGCTTAACCTACTTGTACCCTGCTTTCAGCTGACAATAACAGCACAAAAACAATTCAAATACAACACCTTAGCCTTGATGCAATAACTGTGTGCATCCCATAATGATGCAACACCCTGCAGTTACTGTGTGCTGCAGCTCTGCGCTGCTGAAAAACCTGATTTGCAGTTTACATTTGTACACAACTCTAACAAGCTCTCGCTGCCTGAGGCAACGAAACATTTGAGAGGGATCACTGAAGCTTTCAAAATTATAAGGGTCATTAAAAATTTACACATTATTGACTGTATTTAAAACATCTTTTCCACTGACTGTAAAGAGCACTTAAATTTAAGAGGTGCTATTCTCCAAAGGCCATAAAGTTGTTATAGATAGCCCGAAGGAGGCATGGAGGAGAGAATTTTCTCCTGCTGAATATGAATAAAGTATAGTGGGGTGATACTGCACAGACAGTTACACTGTAGTACTGTACTTACATAGGCAATCAGTGAGCTTGAGGAGATGTTTATAAATCACTGTGTCAAACCATCTAATCTGTGACTTCAAAATAACTACAGAAATAATTATGGCTGCATGTATGGCTGTCTGAGGAGCATGTAACTACACAGAAAGGATGGCAGATAAACAGTCAAAGAACTGCCACTGTTGAAATTGCCCACAGTGCCGTCCTTATGTGTCAGTGCATTATGGATGGAAATACTCTAAAAGGAAGACTCTCCGACTGTGGGATGAATTTTAATGTTAATACAAAAACAGCAGCCTGTGATCTCAGCAGGCATCAGGAGGGGGTGTGAGTGGCTTCGAGGTGCAATTTATTCCAACCTCTGAGCCTCACCAACTTGAAAGTGGGTTTCAAAAGAACTGAGGATTACCAGTAACATGTGGGCCCAGGCTCTCGCCATCACTTCAGCACATCAAAGATTATTGACCATTGACTCCCAAAATATGGACAATTCACAAAACTCGCAGCAGTTTGAACCTGGGTTTTAAATTCATGGCTGTCCATCTTTACTGTTCTCATTCTGCTGCGTGGCCATGTGAACAGAAGCTCGGTTTTGAATACGCCTGCTGGCATCCACCGCTCTGGCCTGTTGTGGCTTTTAAGTGGCTTTTACTCAGCCCAGCACAGGATGGCAGATCATAGCACTTCAAGCTGGCAAAGCCACAGGCACCTCGTGCCAAGCTTCCATCGCCTCAGCACCGCTACACTGAAGGAGTCTCAATTGTTTATTTACAATTTGCTGTGGAAATCCCCAAGTTCTTCATTGCAATAAATAATTGAGCTGTTTGATCTGGACACAGTACAAAGGGTTGCTCCATTCACACTGAGGCCTGAGGCAGAGGAAGGCTGAGCAGCATGAGCAGAGGAGGGGGACACACACACTCCAGCATGGCGGAGATCTTGGAGCTCTCCTCCCTTCCTCTGCAGCTGTCGCTCCCTCTCCAGGCTACATCTCCTCCTCTTTGTCTGCACATAACAACACTCCTGTCAACACAGTCAGAGGAGCGACCTGTGTCTGCCTCCTGGGATACTCCACAAATAGCAGGAGTTTAGCCCTCATTGAACTCATGTTCTTGTTCAGGGGATCCTGTCTAGTTAGCCTGTCTCTCCGGTTCACCCTCGCTACCTCGTTGTCCAGCCACAACCTTTACGGCAGATTGCCCGGGAGTGATCAATTGCTTGTGTCTTCATTGTCGTACATATGGTACAGAAGCGTAACAACAGCTCGAGAGTGAACTGAGCGTGGAATAAAAAGGAAAGCAAGGAGGAAAGCTGAACTTCAAGAGCTGGTGCTGAATACTCTCATATGACATTACCTTGCTGTGTTGGTTTGTGTTGGGATGTCCGTGTCAGCTGTGATGGAAGTTTCCTGACAGGACTGATGCTGGGGAACATCTCCGATTTGATACCATATTCCCATGTTGTTGATCTCACTATGTACAAATGAATAGGAGACACACAAAGTGTTTCATAGTTTTGAAGAGCTTGGTTAGTAAACTAAAGACACTTTATAATGTACAAGACACTAAGTAAATGATAGAAACAAAACCAACATGATTGCATTGATTTCTGTTGCCAAACAGCTCACCCTATACAGGTGTAGTTAACAAGATGGTACTTGGACTTCGCAATGATCTGGATGTCATACACAGCTGTCTCAGCAGCCGCACGAGGGCTGATTTTCACACAGAGCCTCCTCTTCCTCGTGGCAGTTTCCTCTGATGAGTCAGGCACAGACAACGATGTCAGACAGGAAAACATGGTCGCATATTCAGGCCTGTCTCCTCTTAGTTTCAGGCTAAAAAAAATATCTGAAGACATTTTGAACCTCTAGGAGAAATATATATTCATAAATCCCACTTATTCTTTGCTATTAAGTCTTTACCAGTCTCAGAATAAAAGCTTATATCAGTTTCCGGGCGACTTGCTATGCTCAAAGGGAAATGACTGGACAGCGGAAAGTCACAAAAATCCACATGTGTTATTATCATTTTTATCATTTTAGGAGGCAAAATGACAGAAGCAAGTGAATCCTCCATCAGCTTTAGTGCACAACAGGGATTTAAAGTGGATATTCTAGATAGAAACTCATACATAATGCCACATGTATACATTAAACATGGATTCAGACGAAGTAATAAAACATTAAATTACAACATAGCCAAACAAAACATAATCTCTTTTCTTCGTTCTGGCAAAAAAAAACAAAAAAACATTGCCATGGCTTCCTATATTGCATCTGTGCCTTGCTCATTTATTTCCCCAGCAACACTAGAAAGTGCAGTGTAAATGCAATGATAATAAAAATAATAAACAAGCTGTCCTCACTCCCCACACCAAAATATTATTACATTTCCGAGGCATGGATAGTGAGGGGGAAATACATAGCACTCAAAAAGCACTAAAGCATTGGGGAATGCATTTCATTAATATTAGATAACCCCCATCCACTCGTCCTCTCCCCAAATAAATACATAAATAAATAAGCCTCTCATAAAGAAAAGCACAGCTCCAGCTGAGATAAACAATGACTCATGATTCTCTTCTCTTGTACCTCCAGGGCAAAATGTTTATTTTATTCCCACAGTCTGCCATAAATTAAGCTAACCTGCACCCATAAAACATTCACTATCTCAAGCAAAGCTGCCCCCTAGGACCTCCTCGTGAGCTGGTCGGAGAGTGAAAAAACAAGCAGAGGAGGGGAGTGAGCCTGTGGTTGGTAGTGACTGTTTACTTACTCGTATCCATTGTTTCTAGCACAGGTGTAAAGCCCTCTGGCAACACGTCCTTAATGTCAGTCAGCTTCACGTCCGCAATGACGTCAGGCCCCTGAAAGACAGAGCACGGGCAGGAAATTTAAAGTCATGTATGCAAATTCAACTTTTAAAAAGGACAGAGTGCAAGAACAAAAAAAGGGTACATCACTTTTTCGGAGGGCTCAGATAAGAAAATGTAGAGATAATAGAGTCCATGATTTACTAAAAGCTCAGGAAGTCTCTAAAGAGAAGGGTTGACAAAATAGCTGAAGTAATTACTCTCTAATAGCCTTTTTTTGCAATGAGAGAATGCATCTGTGAACTTGAAATCACTCTCAACCTTTTGGCGAGAAGCTGTGGGATGATGGGAGACAGAGCAGGGAGTCTGATCAACAGAATGGGACTGGTTAAAAACAATCAGGGACTGTGTAGTTGACATTTTCAAGCATGACTCTTCCTTGCCTCCCATTACATTTTCATTTTTTGCCCTAATAAATTGCAATAATACACAGCGGCAGTAGAGAGTGGGGCGAACCAGGCGTGACGTGATGCGTCCGAAAAGGCTGGATTCCACTGCTACCGTTGCCCGATAGTCATTACCATTAGAGACATTTTTTATTCATAGTTTTTATACTGACTTAAGGAGAAATATGGATGAATGTTATTACTATGCATGGAACCTTTTTTTTGTGTTTTCCCCTTTTTACTGGAGAGATTTCTTCCGTCAGGGCCTGACAAAAGGGGCTATCTACCTCCAACCTAGAGTATGATAAATCACAAACTATTTACTTCCCCCCCATATAATTCAGGGGCTAATTTTACAGAATCTGTTTTTGTCATAGACAATTACAGCGAGGGCTCCAATGACTGGCAGACAAAATATCCTTTGTTGATGGCTCTGTCATGTTTTATTTGTCTCAAAGCCTTTAAAACAATGTGGACACACATTTTAAGATAATATACAGGAACTAGGGGAAGGCTATTTGTATGCTAGATACTAAACTGAGGAGCAGATTGAGCTCGGGCATGAGGCAGCCGCTACCAAGTTGCCCGGCTTCTCGAGAACACATAGTAAAAAATGAAAGACTTGATTAAGTCCTGAAATTGAGCTGATGCAAAATAATAACAAAAATGCAGGTTTTGTTTACAATTCTGTCTGCATTATCTGCCTGCAACCCAGGGAAACAAATGAATAGACATCCAATAGTAAGCTGTATGAGCTGAGGTTAGACAGGCTGATCACCCAGCAGGTGTATTTATGGCCACAGAGCTGCTGACAGCCACACAACAACACATCAGCTGCAGGCTGCAGAGGAGTCCAACAATGACTGGTGTTATACTGATAATTCAAAGGTGTTATGATACCCTGCTGTTCAAAACATTACAATATCACATTTACTACTAGGGATGGACAAAATGGCCCACAATTATATCAAGATAAATATTTTAATTTAATGAAAGACTTCTTATCTGTTGATAGTTATTATCAAGATTAATGTCACATTATTATTTCTGTTTATAGACAGATTTTTGCTCCTGAGTGAAGGTCGTGGTTTGAAACTCCTATTTATAAGCAATGGCAAACGCTTGATAAACAGCAAAACATGAATGAATTCTCAATCAATTATCTGTTAATATCTGTAAAAAATGTATAAGCAATATATTGATATATATTGGAGTTTTGTTATGTTGCAATTCATGAAAATTATATTGGAATAATTATTAAATAATTATTTTTTTCTCAATTTTAAGAATGAAACTTTTTTAATAAGAGCTGTAATTCCAAGGAGTTGCATCAATTTGCGACACCAGGGATTAGTAGAGGATGTGCAGCGCACTGACTATAGAGGCAAAGTGGGCGTGCCAACTATTGTTAGATTTCATTGTGACAAAACAATGTCTGCAAACACGTGAGACACATGAGACGTGAAACGTGGCAAGCCCACGGACACCACAAACCTCTTCTGTAAAACTAGTTTGAAACCAAGGCAGATGCAGCACATGCAGTAATTTAACAGCGACAAGCAAACCTTTTCTACCATCTGTGTTTAATGAAGTAAGGGCACTAATAACCATTTGATTTGGCTTTATCTTTTTTAGCTAACTTACCAATATGGCAAACGCAAAACTCACCCCCGGAATGTTAAAAATTCACCATCGGAATGTTAATTTATATTTTCCTTTATTATTATTATTTCCTTCATTTATATTCACAGGTAAACAGATCGAAAACTTTGTATGATAAACAATGTATATGATCAATTTGTAGTCAATCAGTACTGGCAATGTCAATTAGATTAAAAATTACAATAATAAGAATGGGGTTGTGATGTTGTTTCAGTCGCAAAGTCGAGATATTTATGTATTATTTAAAAGTCAAAGTTTTGGTATCATAACAAGACTGAGCAAGAACAACTCTACTGTGGCTGTGAATGTTTTTCAGAATCCTTTTGGGTCATTTTTAAAGTTCTACCAGAGTAATTTCTGACATAAATAGAATTATTTTCATATTCATAGTTACATGTACATCAGCTTTCTCAAATCACTGTTTTTCCCTACAGAGACACTGTTGATTGAATGAATTGGAATACTTAGAACACAGCTCATTGTTATTTCATGAATAAACATAGATAATATCCTCAGAAGGACAACTGCAACATGAAAATATCTCACCGGGGTATTATTCATCTAGAATATGCATGCAAATCCATTATATATAAGAGTTCAAAACTGCGCTGCCAACGGTGGCCTTTCTAAATGGGACTTTTACTGATCAAAGTGCAAAGTGCATAAATATATTCTGAAAACTGAGATAATAACCGCAGGAAGACAAAAATAAGAAGTGCAGTAGATGAGGTGCAGGATGCATAGGGAAAGGGAGAAGTTTACATTCGCACTTACAGGTTTTCTGGTGAAACAGAGGTAGCGAGTGACCTTGGATTTGAATAAGGCGTCCTTCCACAGGTCGGCGTCAGAGCCATCTGTTGTTTGTGCAACCTACGTGGAAAAAAAAAAAAGGGTGGAAAAAAAACAAAGAGTGAAAAAAACATGCAGGAGGTGGGATAAAGTTAATGTATGTATGCCACAAGCGTGTTGCTTTTGCCTCTTCCCTTGCATACTAGCCTTAATTAACGCTTGCCTACACTAGCGCTCCATCTCATTAGTGCTCTGTGTGGGTAAAGAAGTCTTAGCCTCCAAAAACGTGGCTAAAAATATCATCCCCTGGGACGAGGCTGATTAAAGATGCCCTGACAAGGATCTGCCCTAATAAGGAAACCAAACTTCAGTGTGCTTCTATGGAAAAGCAGGGATTATATTTGGGGTAAATGTAGAATGTGTATTTGTAACAGACCTACAATTGTATCCCAAGACACAGGTAAACTGAGAACACTGCACATGCACCTTAAAATGTTTACTGCTATACCCAGTGTGTATTCATTCTATCGTTTAATGAGACAACTTCTCTGAGAATGAATTACTGAGGATTTAAACCAATTCCATGTGGATAGCCAAATAAGTCTAAATTCAGAGATGTACGCTGCTTGTCCTTGTACAATAAGCTCATTCATGGTTGTAAATGATCAACGGAGTCAGTAAAAAAAAATATAGATTGCATCATATTGACAGCATGTGGGCACCACAAGTCAAGCTCAAGGTCCTAAACTACATTGCTATGTAAATGCAGTTGTGGAGGGCAGAACGATAAAGCAAAATATAATCCACATACTGCATCACCAACACTCTTCCATCGATGGAGCAAATACGGTTGGCTGAAACGTCATGTTCCATTGGCTATCATGTGAGAATCACCTAAATAACTGCCAGAGTTATTTTCTAAAGGGATCCTTTACAAAGAGGAGTCAATCTAATGAGGTTCATTCAAATGAAGAAGTCATAGATCTCTGCACCCACCCACACACATTACCCCTTGACAATAATGATGAATGACCCTGGTGACTGGTGGGGGAAACATGGCATGGGGAGATTCATGCAAAACCACCACTGACTAGATGAGATGAGAGCAGAGACTAGAGGGGGGAACAGAGATAGATAGTGGGATGAGAGAGAGAGAAAGAGCAGAAGATGAGCAGAGAGAGGGATTGCGGGGCGTCTCCAACAGCAGTTCCATGAAAGGTCCCAGAAGGAGCCTATACATCACCAGCCTCCCTCTTCTTTACAAGACAACCCGTCTTGGCCACTTTTTCCAGGTCAGTAGCCAGCGCATCCTGTCAGCGTAAACAAAGGGCTCGCTTTGTGAAACCCAAAGTCAAGCTGAGGAGTAACGAGGGCACGGTCCTCCTAGGAGGCACCTCAGGCATCATCCTGCCACAGCCACCGGCAGCAAGGATGCTACGCAGCTTGAATTTGAAACGCCAACTGCTGAGCCACGGCAGGAAAGGCATGTGTAAAGTTGCACTGGCTCTTCTCTCATACTTTCAAGCCTGCCATTGTCTGGCTCCATCATTACAGACTACAAAAGGAATGCCACATGTCTAATAAGAGGCGTCATGGCTATGATATTAAAATAAGGCTGTATCATTTGATGTAAAATGCAGTGACAGATTCAACTGCCACTTCCAAAATTTTTACGCTAACAGTGATCTGAAAGCCCACCTATGAAACAAGTCTTAAGGGGGTGATGCATATTCCTATGAAGCATCTCTGGAGACCGACATCACCAGCAAGTTGCTATGAAGCACAGCTGTGAATACAAAGATATAAAGGCACACCATCAAACCTCTCTACAGAGTGAAACCAGGTGGAGAAGAAAAAAGAAAAAAAATCTGAACCGAACAAAAACTGAACAAAAAAAAAGGATCTTTTCTCTCAATTGAAAATAGATGCTGTTTTTTTTATTTTCAGTAATAGTTTAACATTTTTGCAAATGTGGTTATTGGCTAACTTGCTGAGATTTATACACTATAACTCTATTCTGGGCTTAAGGAGCCTAAGGAGCAGACATTAGAGCCAGGAGGCGCTTAGTTTAGTTTAGTTTAGTTTAAGAGTGGAAGCAGAGGGAGCAGCTTGGCTCTGGTCAAAGTTGAGAGAGTACACCTGCCAGTAACTCATGACCTGTGTTCCAATTCATGGATCACATCCTTTTGTTGCTGCATCTGAAGACCGACTGCAACACAATGGGGTGACTATAGGCTAGGGGTCCAAATAATGTCCTTTCTTAACCACTATTCCTTGACCCAGATGGAATACGTCACGGGGTCAAGGAAAGATATGAAGGAGAAGCTGTAGGAGTAAAGTAAAGAGAACCACGGTGCAGAGAGAATAGGTTTGTACCTACAGTCTGTGTTTTTTTTATCATTTATTATAGAAGATGCTGGATGCTTTTCAGGCCACCCTGTCCCAGGATCTCACACCAGTACAAAGCTAACATGCTAGCTATGTGGGATACTGAGCGGCAGAAAGTGCAGCTGCTCAGTCTAGCTAAGTATGCAATGGTAAGGGCAGGAGAAGCTGATGAAGCAAATAGAAAATCCTCCTTTGACCAAACCATCTCATTTCAGTTCAGCCTTAGCGGTCTACTCAAATTAGGACACAGTTTGAAGCTCACTGATTAAAATATATGATCTTGTTTATTGTGTAATCTCTGTGAGAACAAGATTTTGTCATTTTAAAAGGACTTCCAGGCTGCAACTGTTACTTGACAAAGGAACACTTCAGTGGATTGTCTCCGCTGACTGTCTGGCAGCCACTCAGTGTCACTTTTATTAATATTTTTTTATGAACAAATGAAACAAGCAACAATTGTATATTGTAGGTGTATTTTTGAGTTTTAGACAGAGCTCAATTAGTTTTTTTCCCCCTACTTGCATTCTTAATACTAAGTGCCTTTTGGCCCTAGCTCAAGACTGAGCACGCAGACATGAAAATAGTATCCGTCCTCTTTTGGCAAGACAACAAATAACCTTTATGTCAAGCTTTACTTTTAAAGTACAGGTGTTTTAAATCAGTTACTGGGATTTTAAACCCAGACATTCCAGCTAATCAAAAGCTAGCAGTAGTCTTCTTCAAATAAACTTACATTTCATGAACAAGTTTGTGAGCATAAAATATCAAATGCTGAGGTGAATCTAAAAAACACACAAATATCCACTTTACAACCTGTGCACAGAGAGTGAGTGTGCAGGAGTCTACTCATGGTGTTTGATGTTGGGTGGCTGCTGGTGCTTCAGAAAAGCTCCTGATCCCAGTGGAGCAGTGTTTGATCTGGGCCTGTGCTCTTGTGTCAGAACAACTTGCTAAAGTTCAGAGATGTGAGCGCACCGTACCAGAGAGCAAAAGAGTTAATCAACCCCTTTGATCTGCAGCATAAAAAGTACGGTAAGTATGGTAAGCAGCCCGTATTAGGGAGGAATTTGCAAAGAAGTCTTGTAAGAAGAGAAAAACAAATCAATACAGTTTCATATCCTGAGATTTACCTTTGTCAGCACTGCATTGGTAAGAGTGATATATTTGATTTATTTCAAGTCTGCAGATGAAAGACCATATAGTGAAGCTAGAAAGATGCTGCTGAAGATGGGACAAACCCATTTGAAATATTCTTCAGAATCCTTGAACTTTATCTTAGAGGATGATTTGAGCTTTTCATAGATTTAAAATTGACATTTTTTCCCCTTAAGAAAATGTTTCCTATTTTACACAGGGAAACTAACACAAATAAACTTTATCGATGAAAATTGTTGTATTAAAGACTAAATGCTTTAAGCTATTTGTAGTGTAACCCTGTTCCCTGTTCTTTGTTCATCATCTGGATTTCTCTTCCAAGATTTCTAAACAGTAAAAGCCGGTGGTTCTTAGTTTCCAACAGTCTCCCTCCTACTTGGCTGTGAACAACTCTATCCACTGAAAGTCAGATGTGAAAATGTTGGCACACCCAACAGAAACGAGTGATGCGCCCTGCCTCACACTGGTGCTGTGCTGTCCTCTGTTTTCAACACCCGTCCTAGTTTATACTATGCCCTTGTGTATTTTTGGGGGCTGTATAAATTCATAATCTATATCTTGAACCACAAGCACAGAGTTCAAACATATTCAAAACACGTCCACACACTGCTTCTCAGATGCTGTGATATTGGTATTGTCCGCTCAGGACAGCTTTGTTTGGAAGAGTCCTCTATCTGTAATCTATTTTTGCAGCAAAACAGCAACAATGTTGGCTTAATTTACTGACAGGTCAAGAGGGCATGCAATAGGTCAATGTGAAAGAGAGTGCCCTCTGCTGGATCACGAGGCAAACTACTTCTGACAGCCTGATTCGCCTCTTGACTGTAGAAATCAAACATGGCATTACAGTTACAATACAAGCTGTAATGGCATGTTTGAAGTTTAAGTTAAAATGAATGTCTGTTTATAAATACACGGTGGCAGTAAAGAAGTGAGAAATGAGTAGAGTCCTATATTTATTTATATGTTTACAGATTTATTATCTTTCTGAATGATCAAGTCCAAACTAATTACCATTTTCCAACTGCTGCTCTACAACCTGTAGATTAACACAGAACTTTTAACAATAAACTAAGTAGCTATAATTAGATTAAATCTGTGCCATATTCAGATTTTAGCCCCCTCAGAACATCCACAGTATTTGCACATCAGCTGAAATGTAAGGGCGCACTGAAGCAGCAGAGGAGGAAGTCTGATGGGGTTTCTGTGTTTGTCATTGCCGCGTGGTGTGTACACAGTTTCCCTGCCAGTGGCTCCATTCTAATGCCAACCCACCATCATCTGCCAGAGATTAGAACAAGCTGGGTGTGCAGGGTGGAGCAGGAAGAATTAAAACTGGGGGGAAGCGAGAGGGTTGGGAGGCAACGGGTGAAAGCAAGAAAGTCTGAATAGTAAGAGGGAGCGAGAGGAAGAGAGATCTGCCCCTGAGCTTGTTTTGTGCTTTGTTAAACTTACTCACACTCCTCGTTTTTTAACCTCTCTAACTCTTTCACAACATACAGCTTATATAAACCTGTCTATCCTGTACTACTTCACATCCTGACACAATCCTATTTACGGTGTAGTTGTTGTGTAGTTGAGCATAAGGGGAATAAACTTAAATAACTCTGGTGGGCATCAACCCAACATAATTCAACTTTTGCCTCAGGTGTGTCTGTAATACTGGTGGCAACCAGTAACAATGTCAGGAAGGGAATCATCCTAATCATCAAAGTAAACTTAATGAATAAGTCATCTAACAAAAAACACCATGGAAAGCTGCCAACATCCTGGCTGTGCGTCATTATATACAATTAGTAACAACAATTACACGCAGAACCAATGCAAGAGAGAGGCCTCTAATTGCAACTCTATCTTTTAAATGAGATGGAAAAAAAACAATACCTTCAAAACATGAAGCCATCAATAGTTTAAAATAATTACTCACAACATGGAAGTCATCTGGGGCCTTATTTAGCGAAGTGACAATTCCAACTGCAGAGATGGGGTCAGACAGCAGCTGGTTACTCACATCAGACATGTTTGAAATCTGTTAGAAAAGCAGAAGAGCCTCATCAGACCAATAGTGGTAAAAAAAACAAAAACATACCAGTTATTCGAGACAAACAGCTCAATGAAAATTCATTCTAAACGTGAAAATGCAAACATAAAGAAATGGACAAAATACAGATGGTGAAACTAAATGGGAGTTGCATCATTCCGGGTCAATACATGGAGAACGGACAAGGTTTTTCTTGGCTAAAATGACCACATTATTGACTTCTTGATGAGGCTAATTAGGATCTAGAAGAAAAAGTGGCTTCCTAATCAAGGATCAAATGACAAGTGAGACCAGTGACAAAACAGCATTTGGAGACCACCCAGTGACTTCACCAAATCACAAATTAGGCAGAGTGATCGCATATTTTCAAGGAAGTCCCAATCAATTGCTATCTATTCCTGTCCAAGGGAATTTTTGCCTAATGGGCATGCAAGCCTTTTACAGGGTGAGTGGCTTTGCAAAGGTTCCCTTATGCAATGTTATTAGATTAGCTTTAAAGCATTCTTGTACTAACTGACAAAGTTGCTGCATTCAATCTTGATGTTTACGAAATCTATTGCAATTACACTGATCAAATTAGGGGATTTGCTCCAGAAACAGCTGTCTCTTTAACAAATGTTAGATAGCCGTACTTATTCAAATGAAACAGGATAGCAAATTGGCTAATAGGATGAGGGATCTCTTTGTAACATTAATTTGTTCAAAATGAGCCTTGTTTTCCAGCACAACATCAAGGCTTTGAGACTTAACCTGCAAGAACGAAGAAAAAGAAATCCAAACTTATTTCTGTCTCCAGTGGAAAACATCACTGTGTATCATCCATGGTGAACCAACTAGAATAGTGAGTCTGTGATGTGGCATTTAAGGCATAATCTCCAATATAAAATTTGAGGTGATAAAAATATTAATTTTAGAGATACAGACATTGGAAATGCCTCTGATAGTACAGGAAATCGCGTCTGGCATCAACGAGTACGCAAATCTATTTTAAAGTATATGAATTCCTCTCAGATTACTTCTTCATCTCTCCAATGAAGTAGTTGTGCTGTACTGACTCTGGCAAGTACTGTTTTTTAGAGAGCGGCAAAAAGTGATTTGCAGGAGTGAAGCATTAGCCAGAGCAAGCTAAAATGATCAATTCAGCAATAGCTCACACTGGAAAGTCCGACAAGTAAAACTGCGATCTGTACCGCATGCAAGCCTTCAGTTTGGGTAGCACTAGTTATTATTCATTCTGAGATTTGTATAGTATTGAAGTTGTAGTTGCACTGTTTTATTCTGTACAATTTCAAATTTAACAGCTGACTAATGGAATTGATTGTTGTGTATTTGTGCTCTTTTTCAGTTATGACTGTCAAAGTAGAAAATAAAATAGTAATTCATTTTCTGCATGTATTTTTTTCAATGGTTTGGTATTTGTATGATTAACTGTAAAATTCCCAAATAAAAGTTAGATAACTATCACAAAACTGATGATGATTGACTGCTTTAGTTTCTCATTACGTGTTGAGAGGGATTTAACATATCACTTCATTAATCCATGCCTTTTTATGACATATCACTCCTGCTAGCTTACATGTAGTGGGGCTAAGCAACATATAACACCAGACTCCTAATCATACAGTGAAATAATGAGGCTTCAGGCAGCTGATTTAAAGCCAAACAACCAACACATACCCAGAATCAACCCTGGTTCGAGGTAGTATTTATTATCACAGTTAGCAACGTGTAGCTAGCTCATTTATTAAGATCCTCACTCGTTCCTCCAGCTCTCTGTTGTTGTAGCTTTCACTCCTTCCTGTTGTCTGCGTTTTAAATCTGTGCACCCGACACATGAGCGTGTTTCTAAACACGAGGACTCCTTACAGCAGCTAATGCTTCCTACACAAACAAACGGTGTGCGCCATTACACACAGCACAGACTAAAAACCACAGTCCTCCACCTGTCGTCTCCTTTTACCTGGTTGAACGTGTGTTATTTACATGGTTATTTATTTTACCTGGTCAAACGTGTGTTGTTTATCTGAACTGTTTAAACTTGTGTTGTTTGTTTGACCTGTTTAAACGTGTGTTGTTTATTTTACCTGTTTAAACGTGTCTTCCTGCTGAGCCCACTCTGGACCAGTCTATACTCTGGACCAGTCTATACCCTGGACTTCAACCCCGCCTGCCACTAGAGTTAAACACTTCCGGGTATCATGGGTAATAAATAATTAACCAAACACACAGGCATGATCATGATCCTGACTCTGTACATTCATTATTATTATTATTATTATTATTTTGATCATTTGCTTATCTTATACAGAAAACAGAAAACTTTTATAAAAAATAATCTATCAAAAAAATTTTTTCCTATAGACCTTTATTATTATTATTTGTATTGTTGTCGTTATTATCATTAGTAGTAATAGTAGTAGTAGTGGTATTAACTGTTGCTGATAACCTTAATATAAGTATTATTATTTTCATTAAAACAACCAGAGCTCCAGAGCTTTAATATGAAGGTTACGCAACGGTTTCTGTTCTTTCTCTCTCTCCCACTCACTTATTCCATCCGGCCGATGTATACGGCCGCCTCACACTGAGTCTGCTTCTTTTTGCCAAGTACTCGCTCATTATGGGAACTGTTGGATTTCTATATAATTTTTAAGGTCTCGACCTTGCTTTGTCAAGTGCCTTGAGATAATGTATGTTGTGATTTGGCTCTATAAGAATAAGGTGAAGCTCATTCACTACTCGCTGTAGTTGTCTTTTTGAATTTCACTATCATTTCTGACATCTATCAGGAGTGATAAATGATAGGCATATCATAGGAGGCTATAGCTATGTTTAATAATTCATAATTCTGCATCCTTTGGAGGTTGCATTTGTAGAGCGATTGCGTCACTTTAAATACGGCTGACAAATGCGTCCACCGGTTGAATCCTTCCCGGCCCAACCTATCCCAGAATTCATTGCGCTTCAGTGCAGAAGAGGTGATGTTGCCAGCAAGCAGTGAGATGTGTGATGATTGAATATCATGTGTGGTGCACATTTAAAAAAAGCAAGGGGCATTAAAACTTTCTCGCCATGTCCAACTTCAGCTCTGTTGCTATGCAACAGCAATAAGGGCGAAACAAGCTGGTAACACTGATTACAGAAATTCTCTATAGACCAGACCATCTCATTTGAGTTCGACATTTGCTGTCAAGCGGCCCACGAAGTTGGTGGTCTTCACGGGCTGGGTAGATGCAGCCTCCGACTTGAGACACAGCTAATGAGTGCAGCACAACATCTTATAAAAGCATTATCAGAAAGGGTCCACATGTCAATTTACTTTGTCTGAGTGAGTCTACATAGAGCATAAAGGCCCAGGACAACAACGCCACACTGAATTGTGGGTGTATTTCTTTGCAATAACTTCTGAGAGCCAATTTAACTACGGTAACAAAATTAAGGTTGTGCTTCACCAAATGACCGTCATTACATGGATGTATCTAAGGTCACGCCCTCTGACAGTTGCTTCTCTCAATAATCATCACATGTCATTACTGTAATCAGATAAAAGTAAGATTAAGACCAATGTATTAGCTTAGCTTCAACATTAAGATACACAGGGCCGCTTTGTTGATTGTCCAAAACAGCAGCCAGCAGCAGACGCTTTCCAATTAAAATTTGTATTTCTTACCCTCATGATACCAATACAATAACTTATCAAAGACGTGTTGCTCGGTTGTGTGACATGGTGCCACAGGCCAGTGGGGTGTCTTCCTTGGGACCACACACACACACACACACACACACAAACACACACACACAGTGAGATGTATTTATTGGCCTACACATGATGTGATTTTTCCCTTTTTTTAAATGCATGATGCTCATATAATTACAGGGAGATTTTCTGCCACCTCACACGTCCAGCAGATTTCACCGCCTCCACTCACTGTTGATGTTAACTGAAGACACAAAATCTTGCCTGTGTTAAGGTTTATTTGACTAATTCTGGAAATTCTCAACTGGGAAGCATGGCACTGTTCTGCTTTTGCAGCCCTTGTGCTGTATCTATTCTGGGTTTGGTCTTCTTGTGCGTCTGTATATCTTATCACCCATGGCTGCGTAAAACAGAGTGTATATGTTTGCTAAGTGTTAATCTTCTTGTTGTTGTGATGCTGGATGATGATAATCTTTTGCAAAACTATACTTTAACTTGTTTTCTCAGCAGTAACTGGACAAGTGCTGCAACTAGCAGTCACAGACCAACAGTCTGAGGACAGAGAAAAGCATCAGGTCTCACATCTGAGAACATGGAACCATGTTTCTTTATTATTATCATTGGCTTTGAATTGAATTCAGTGATTCATCCTTTATCAAAATAATTGCTGATAGATTTTCTTTATATTAACCAATCATTGCAGCTGCAATCAAAATAGAATAATATAATGAAATCCTTCTTTTTTAGCGAATTAAGTAAGCATGTGGCTTGATAATCTTCAATGCAATTTTTTGATGTAAGAATGATGGATTGGACAACTATAAAGATACCAGCCTGCTTATGAACAGTGATCAGGTTAGTGTTCTCATACTGATCACAGATTTCGATATTAATGACAAATAAATACAGCAGTGACATTTGTTGAGAGTACATTCTTGAAATAATACATTTTATAATACATTTTGGATATAATACAATTTGGATATGATAGTAGTTGATAGAATAACTATAAAGACTTGAGTCTGCTGCCAAACAGTGTTCAGGATAGTATTTTCATATACTGTACCACAGCAACATATGATATCAATATTAACTACAAATTATTACAGCAGAGACATTTACATGCTGGTGGAAGATTTCTTTTTACACCAGTCTTACTTCATCAGATACTGTAACACCCCACCTCCATCAACACCATACCACCCACCTAACACACACATAATCCCACCAACACACGCTCTCACATCAAGGTGTTGACAACCTTCAGAAATAGGCATGCTCATTTTATTTAGAATTTGGTGATAAGATAAAAACTCAGGTGTCAGTGTAGAAAAAAAGAAAAGAAACACAACACATGCTCGAGAAAAGCTACACCTGCTAAAGTAATGGTCTAATTATGGAATAGGTGATGAAACACTCGTCGAGAGTCTGGAGATATCAGCAACACATGCTAACTGTGAAAGCCATCAGCTATTACAGTGTTTTAATGTGCGGCACATCGCATGCTGAGGACTGTGGGGTAAGATGAATGATGGCTGTGGCAGGTTTCTGTGGGGGAGCCGCCAGTGTAGGATGCATAGCATTACAGCTGGCATTTTGAAAAGGTTCATTAAAACTGTGATTTCTTTGTTCACGCTTTGTTTCGTGTACACTTTATGACACGTCTCAGTTAAAGGCGATCCCATAAACACGGGATCATCCCATCAGGTACAGAATATCACGCATATTATATATTCTGGAAAGTCTTAACAACGCTGTAGTCATGAGTGGTAATCAGCGGATGACTGAGGAGCCCCTGGACCAAAATTATACCTCTGTGAATGACTCTGCACCCAAATGATAAAAAAAACAGCAAAGGTTTTCTTTTCCCTGTGTAAAGGTCATTCACTGTGTTTTGTAATTTGCTGACACTAGTCAGGGGACTGAAGACGGAGATTTCTGTGTTGCCACCCTGAGAGTAATAATATCCCTATCTCAACTTGGGAAATCTACTGCGCCCCAATGTCCCCGTCACCCGCATGAACCCATTACAGGCTTTGTAGAAATCTGCAGGTCTCATTTCATATATGACCCTCACGCCCCTCCTCCTCCTCCTCCTCTCTTTTTCTGTCTACACATAAAGAAATCCCTGTGTCTCCTGAATAGCCTATAATAACAAGCTTTAAGAAACCTACCCTTAGTGCCCCATAGGATACAACCCTGCAAGGCTCTATAATATCATGCGTGTTTTTTTCTAATTAAAGGTCAGTTTGGTCTAGTCTCATTGTTGCTGTGGCTGACAAATCTTTTGAAACATGATGGCTTTGCCAAATGTGATTTAATTTTCCATTTATGCCATCTGTGTTCTTGGCTGAAGCACTGAAATGCAAGTTAAAGTTGAGTCACTTTGTAAAAAGAGGAGATGTCTTATGTAGTCTTGTATAAAGCCTTCAAAGAGGACTTATTAGGTGCTTTTTCAGAGTGTGCATGTATCGCTCAGAGACGGTCAGTCTGGTACTTTCTTGGGTAGATTCTTACATACAGTCATCTCTAGCAGCTTACACTCCATTGCTCAACTTATCATCAAACACAACCATACACTCACATCTGCATGCACACCACACACACACAGGCACACACCCACGCGCACATATACTTTCCTCCGTCTGGTGGGGAGTCTGGACTGCTCCGACTGACTGCGCCTCACTGCCCTTGTGCAGTGGTGTGCCAGTTGTGCCTTCCCCCATCGCTGTGAATGCCACCATCTGGTGTGCCACGTGGACATCATAATCTCCCCTTAATTACATTAGCAGTGCAATCAGTTACTGCATTACAAGGCCGGGCGAAGAGCTTTTAAATCTTGGAGGAAATCATAAATAATTGCACTAAGTACCCAGCGCCAGATGTGCGTGCCAACTTGGCTGGCATGAGATAAATAGTAACCTCGACAACGGTGTTCAGTATCGACTCTGCAAACATTTTTTGGGGCTGTGTGATCCCCTTGTCCTTTGCTCTGGTCCCACATCCTTGTCCTCTCCCATTGGATTCTCTCACACAGAGGTTGGGCTCCACTGAATGCATTAAGTCAGCTACCTGTTGCTGCAGCATTTCCCCACTGCAGTGTGACTGATGGCATTCAGGAAACAGTTTGTAACAAGGTGTTTCACAGCGTCACCATTCAGTCCATTACTACACCCTTCAATCATTCTTCAGTCGTGTAATTAGATATTTCTTAGGTATCTTGTGCAGGAAATTGAAATTCTTGATGGATTCTGAATAGGTGTCTGTTGGTGGGTGTGTATTTGTGTGTGTGCAGGGTAACAAGACATTACACATTATGAGTCACCATCACGTCTTACTCCTTGGAGGGGATGTTGCGTTGTGTTGCGTGGCACTTTTCACTCATCTTCCTGTCATGTTCTCAGTTCCCAGGGCTGCTCACACTGACACACATCTCATTCAGTGCACTGGCAGCTCTTACTGCACTTCCT